AAAAAAAAAAAAAAAAAAAAAAAAAAAAAAAAAAAAAAAAAAAGGGAAAAAAAAAAGGTAGGTAATGAACACAGACAGGAACTGGCTTAGTTAGGTTTCTACTGCTGTGACGAAACACCATGACCAACAGTAGCTCGGAGAGGAAAGGGTTTATTTCATCTTATACTTCCACATCACAGTCCATCCTCAAAGGGAAGTCAGGTGTCTTAGTTAGGGTTTCTATTGCTGTGATGGAACACCATGACCAAAGGGCAAGTGGGGAGGGAAGGGTTTATTTGGCTCACACTTCAGCCTTGCTGTTCACCACTGAAGGGAGTTAGGACAGGAACTCAAACAGGGCAGGAGCTGATGCAGAGGCCGTGGAGGGGTGCTGCTCACTGGCTTGCTTCCTCTGGCTTGCTCAGCCTGCTTTCTCAATAGGACCCAGGACCACCAGCCCAGGGATAGCACCATCTACCATGGGCTGGGCGGCCCTCTCGCATTGATCATTAAATGAGAAAATGCCTTACAGCTGGATCTTAAGGAGGCATTTCCTCAGCTGAGGCTCCTTCCTCTGATGACTCTAGCTTGTGTCAAGTTGACACACAAAACCACCCAAGACATCAGAGCTGGAATTCAAGGCAGGAACCTGGAAACAGGAACCACAGAAGAAGCCATAAAGGAACGCTGCTTACTGGCTTGTTCTCCATAGCTTGCTCAGCCTGTGTTCTTACAGCACCCAGGACCACTGACCCAGGGGTAGCACTGTCCACAGTGATCTGGACCCTCAAACATCAACCATCAATCAAGAAAATGCACCCCAGGCTTATCCACAAGCCACTCTGGTGGGGGTGCATTTTCTCAGTTGAGGTTTTCCTGCTCCCAAAATCACTCTGGTTTGCGTCAAGCTGACATAAAACCAGCCATCGCGGGAGGTTGGGGAGGTGGGTAGGACCAGGGGAGAGAGTGAACTCTGAGAAAGGGAGGCTTGCTAGGGATGGAATCTTGTCCCATGCTACCCGGGTGATCCAGTACAGAGTCACACTTCAGGAAAGAAAGGGAGTTTTGATGACAGGTCAAGAGAGCTGTCGGAGGGCTTGAATCAGAAGAGCAGCCCCTTAGGTCTGCATTTTGCAAAGCTCCTCCGCTTCTCTCTGGTAGGGAATGCACTGGAAAGGAGAAAGGGTGGAAGCGAGGGTAGTGAGGAGGTTGTGGCAGCACCCAAGGGAGACAGGAGGCTTGTCAGGGGGCGGGGTAAAGCTACAGAAGGAGGGTCTTCTGACTTTGAAGAGAGAGGGCATCAGAGATAAGGCCGTTCTCTGAAGAGTATGGAGCTGGAGGAGGTCATGAGGTCACTTTGGGGCCTATTGGTCTGAATGCCTTTGAGACACCTGGGTAGAATGGAGGCACAGAGGATTGATGGATAGAGGGGAGATTGTTGGGAGAAAGGAAGGATTTTCTATACAGACAGCCATTAAGGAAATCGCATATTGGGAGCGGAGAGCTCAGGCCCGTATACCTTCAATGTCGACAGCACAGACAGGCAGGGGCCCATGCATAAACTCAGAGAGTTTGCAGCCCGGGAGCAGAGCCACAAGGATCTGAAGAGCAGCTAGGCACAGTAACACACACCTGCACATTTCAGTGCTCAGGAAGCTAAGGGAGAAGATGAGGCTGGAAGCTGAGACGGGAGGAGCATGAGTTCAAGGCCAAACGTGAGCTGCAAGAAAAGACCTTGTCTGAAAAAGTTGGTGGTGGGGAAAGTGGGGTGGAGAGAGCACAGTGGAGGGGTGCCTCAGTCAATCAAGAGCCTGAGGACCCGAGTTCCATCCCCAGAACCCACAAAACAAACAAAACAGCAACCAAAGCAGTGGCATGTACTTGTGATCTCAGCAATGGCGAGAGGGAGGTGGAGCTAGATGGATCTCTGGAGTTCACTGGCCTTCTAGCCTGGTCTACTTGGCAAAGTTCCAGGCCAATACGAAACCCTGCTTAGGGCTAGAGGGATGGCCTGATGGTTGAGAACACTGGCTGTTCTTCCAGGGGACACAGGTTCAATTCCCAGCATTCACATGGTGGCTCACAACTGTCACTTATGTGTGTGGTGCACAGACATAAGCAGCCAAAACAGCAACACACACACACACACCACACAATAAAATAAAAAGAAATCCTGTCTCCCAAAGTGGAAGGTACCTGAGGAATGACATCTTAGGCTGTCCTCTGGCCTAAGATATATATACATGTGCCCATGTGCACACACACATACACACACACACACACACACACACACACACACACACACACACACTGCAGAAGAGCAGGATGAAGTGCCTAAAGAAAGGACAAATGTCCCCTGGCTTTAGCAAGCTGGCCCTGGTGAGTGTTGTCCCAGTAACATCAGGCTGAGAGCAGGCAGCCCGTCAGCTACGAAAGAAAGAGGGGAAGAGAATAGGTTTGATTTCCAGAGGGATGAAGCCACGGAAGGAGGCTGTATATTGGCGAGCAGGACTTGGCTGGAAGAAAGTGATTTGAAGACCTAGAGGCCTAGAGGAGAGACAGGGTTCCTGATATGAGTCTGAGGATGGCAGCAAAAGACGTGGTGGTGGTGGGGGGTGGGGGTGGGGAAGGGGTGGGGGCTGCCCTATATGACATACTTCGGCTCCAGAAGAGCAGTTCCCAAGGGGGAGCAAGAGCGCTGCCATGAGTGCTAAGGATTTGGGGTGCTGGCAGCGTGGAGATGGATGAGAGGCCCGAATCAGGGAGTTAATATGGAACTGGGGTGAGAGCTGAGCCATGGGGAAAGAATGCTGGGAATGGGGAGTGCCCCAGACAGGGCAGAGCAGAGTGCCAGCCTTGGGGAGGAAGGTGAGCTTAGCAACTTCAGGAAGCAAGGCCACCAACCTGTTCTTCGGGGCTCTGGAGGTGGAGGGGCAGAGGTATGGGGGGGTGGTGGCAGAAGCCTGGGGCCAAGAAGCATTGAACCTTCTGGGTTTGGGTGGGGCAGAAGCCAGAAGGGGAGGAATGGTCACTGGCCTGGAAACACCTGCATAGCAAACCCACGAGGAAGGATCTCTGGCAAGCAAGGAAACAGAGGCAGAGACACAGAGAGGTGACGTCATTTACTCAAGAGCGCCTAACCACTTATTACCAAGCGATTATCATTAAGTTCAGCCCTGGAGCAGAGTTCGGCAGACCCAGCCGACTTCCAAGCAGCTGCTCCTGCCCTTCCTCCCTTTCCCAGCAGAACAGCTCCTGCCCGTGTGTGTACCTAGGAGGGACAGTGATACTGTACCACCTCCACCAATGGTGGTGGTCCAGGCTGAGGAAGTCCACGTGGACTCTGTGACCCCAAAGAGAGAGGGGCCAGCACCAGGCTGCCTGCCAGGCCAGACCCTGAGTCCTGAGGACACATGGATAACCATGGTAACCCCCAGGGCAGAATCCCAGAACCTGCCTCTCTTTGGTTTCCTAAACGCGGCAACAACAACCCTCCAGAGGGCCAGACCTCTGGTGGTCAAGGTGGCTCCCTTCAGCCCTGGTGAAGCGGCCGGGGGGGGGGGGGGGGGGGCAGAGTTGGGTTTAAGACGAAGTCAGACATACGAGAAGGGGGCTTCCTGTGGCTGCCGAGGCTGCAGCCACACCCAGTGTTAGTGGGACATCTACCTTGCTGCCTTCCTAGCTCCTGGGAGATGCGGGTTCAGACCTCCTTGGTTCCCCCTAGGTGAGCCCAGCATTTTGTCCAAGACAGTCAATGTTTGCTGAATTAAATCTGGTCCAGCTCAGAGAGCCGGCCTGCCTGACTCTGAATTCCGGCCCCATGTCACTCCTGCTGCGTGGCTCTGAGCATGCCACTGTACCTCTCAAAGCCTCAGTTGGCTATTAAACAGGAGTAGTTAGAAAGACCTCCCAAGTGTCACCTCACTTGGGAGGGTTGGGCCCTTAGTGTATTGTTCTCCTGTCCTTGCCTTTAAAAAAAGAAAGAAAGAAAGAAAGAAATTGAGCCCAGGCTGGCTTTGAACCCAGGATCCTCTTGCCTCAGCCTCCTTAAGTGCTGGGATTACAGGTATGTGTCACCATATCCATCCAACTCTGTTTTGAAATTCTTAACCCAGTTTTGGACAAGGAGCGCTGCATGTTTAGCTTGGGTGGGGCCCTACAAACGCTGAAGTCCTGAGTAACAGTATAACTGCGGAGGCTCCTTGCAACACAATTGATTACATGAAATTCTCTGCCTAAGGTACATAGACATAGCGCATCAAAGAATGAGCAAAGGCTGTTACCCCTTACTATTGGAGTATCCCGTGTGTGACAGTGAATGAAAGCCTGAATGAGTGAGAGCATAGGGAAGGAAGGCACCAGGCCGACGTGAGATGGGGATGGAGGGTTGAGATGAGGGAATTCACTGTCAAGTAGTTTCCGCCTTAGCTGGTAATCAGTGCTGTGGTCCGGACCCAGCTGCCACACCCCTCAAAAAGTCCACTTGGTAAGAGCTGAAGACGTAGATTCCAGTCTTTATTAGGCGGCTGTAGTCTTCGTCCCCTAGATGTGGTCAGTCCCTAGCTCGTTCAGCATCGGTCAGGGGTCCACAGAGGCCGGGATCAACGCTCAACCTGCACGACCGCCCTCGAGGAGGCGGGGCCTCGCGCGCAGGCGCCGAAGCGTCTCAGAGGAAGGGGTTGGTGCCAGCCTGCGGGGGCAGCGGCCCCGCCGGGCCGGACGTGGGCAGCAGCGGCTGAGGCAGGCTCGCGGGCGGCGGGGCGAAGGCTCCGGCTTGCGGGAAGACGCTGACGGAGGCAGGGAGGGTCGCTCCGACCGGCACGCTACTGAGCGGGAGGGGCAGGGAGGCGCTGTAGGTCATGGAGCCCAAGGGCGCCCCGACGGGTCCCCCCGGCGGCAGGCCCAGCGCGGGCGAGCCGGTGCGCATCTGGTTCAGGGTCGGCCTGCCTTGCTCGCCCGAGCCAAACGGGTTAGTGGGGGACGGAGCACCCAGACCTGCGGGCGAGAGAACAGAGGATAAGGGCTTTGCCACGGCGGAAAGTGGGGAGGCCCAACGGGGTCCCAGACGCCTGGCCAGGGCCTTCTACCTGTCAGGAAGGGGTTCCGGGTCCTTGCAGCCAGGGGTGCCTTGACTAGTGAGTCCAAGTTGACCAAAGAAGAGGCAGAGGGGCCCAGGAAGGACTCCGGAGTCCGGCAGGGGCGCGCCTCCTTTCCTGGCTGCAGCGCCTCCCCCAGCACACCCAGGTCAAGGGCTTCAGACTCCTTCATGCCATTTTGCTTGCAGCTGGGGCTTGCGTCTCCAAATGGGTCTAGCTCTGAGAGAAAGGGGATCAGTTCAGTGGTGGGGAAGGAAGAGGGCAGAGGCGCCCCTGGAGTCCCCCCTAAACCAAATAGCTGTAGCCCCTGGCCTCTTGCTCACCCACAGGGCTGCTGGACTTCCCCGTGGCCAGGGCCTGGCTGTCCTTGGGCTCTGTGGATTCTAGAGGTTTGGCAAATGGATCGAAGGATGAGGCACCACCTAGAGCTAGCCAGGAGGAAGAGGGAAATGGAGTCAACTAGAAGAAAGGTACGGTCTGGGATATGGCCTTCTCACCATAGACTGTCCTCGGTATTGGAGGGCAGGGGACCCAGAAGTCCCCAGCTTCTCACCCACGTGCCCTCCACTTACCAGAGGTGTCAGAGGTCTCCACAGAGCCCCCCCAGGGGTCTGTTCCAGTGCTGGGGAGTGTGTGGTTGGGGGAGCTTGGTGCCCAGGGGTCTGAGATGGGGGGTCCGGCGGGCAGCACTGGGGTCCTGCCCCAGGGCTCAGAAGAGGAAAGGGTAGGAAGCAGATCCCAAGGCTGGCTTCGGGACAAGGCGTTTCCAGAGGGAACTGGAGACCAGGGGTCTGCAGAAGGGCCCCAGGAAGAGCCACTCGGCTCAGTGTTCGGCCTGAGACCTGGAAAGGAGAGGGAGATAGAGCAGATAGTATCTCAACACTCCCCCACCCTCTGTCCAGGGCCCTTCCCATTTGCCCAGCCCAGGTTGGGTGGCGTGGTACCCACTTCACACGTGGGATGCTAAATTGGGAGCAAGCGGCTCTCTCGAGCCCATGTTTAACAAACAAAACCTAGGAACTTGGACCCCCAAACCTGGGAGTATTGGCCTTGTCAGGGCTTGGCTAGCCAGTGAGGGCAGCTAGATCTTCTGCTGAGCTTCCCAGGAGCTGAGATCTGCAGGTGTGCACCCCTGGCCCTTACTGCAAGACCCTATTCTAGAGGCAGCACAGTGACCCTGGAGAGGAGGTGATTTGCCAGCGAGTGGCTGGAAGGAAGGGACTCTTCAGAGGCCAGTCTTGGGGCGCGCGGGAGTGGGGGGTGGGGCTCTTGAAGTCCTGTGTGCCCACCTGGGATGTCCCATGGGTCAGCAGAGCAGTGTGTGGAAGGCAGGGCTGGGACAGGTGCGAAGACGTCAGCCAAGTCCAGGATGGAGGACTGTGGAGGGAAGAGTCAGCCGTGGCTCAGAGGTGGGTGGGGCGCAGAGGGAGGGGAGGTCTGACCAGAAGCCAGCTCACTCCCCTCCTTTCTTCACTCCACAGGCATCTTTTAATGACCCCTCACCTCTGATCAGCACTTCCCATTTATACAACGTTTCCTCATCCATGTAGTGCCCCATTTCATACCATCGCTGTGAGGTAGGTAATGTACCCGTTTTACAGATGAACCAACTAGTTGAAGCCCAGAGAGGGGAAATGATTTGTCCGGAGTTACATAGTCAGAGAGGCTGAGCTGGGTTAGATCCCAGGCCAGCAGAAAGGGGGAGTCAAGACAGATGATTTTTTTTTTTTCTTTTGAGTCTACTTCTTTAGCCCAGTACCCAAGAGAAACTGGCCACCACAGACAAGGAGAGGAAGAAGAGAGAGAGGCTCCCCAGGGACAGAATGAATAGCCTGGGAAGGTGATCTTGTTTTCAGTGGCCACCTGCTCCCCTTCTCAGGGAACCTGAGATATTTTCAGCACCATGTGCTTGAACCAGCTCCTGGTCCAGACCCACAGTATCTATCACATGATCCTACTGTATGAGAGCTGGAACTGTCCCAAACACCCACTGTGCAAAAAGGGAAACTGAGGCCAGTAAGAATGTCCCAAGTCATTAAGTGGCAGGAAGCCCAAGGAGTCTCCATCATGACTCTGATATGCCACCTCATGTCACCTCCGTCACCAGCCCCTGCGGAGCGCCACACCTTCATTTCCCACCTGGTGCCTGCAGCGAGCTCCGCTCTGTGCACTGCACAGATGCCAACCCCGTTAGCCCGCACTCCTCAGCCCACTGTCTACCTGGCTCGTTTTCAACTTCTCCTCCTCCTTTCTCTCTTCTCTCCCAGGCTCTCTGTCCCGTCGACGTCGGCCAGCGGGTTCTGTGCCGCCGTTGGCCACGGGAGAGTCATCATCCTTCCAGGACCTCGCCCCCTGCCGAAGGGACAGGTAGGGCATGAGCAGGTGATGCGGTGGGGAGGGGGCGGGGGGAGATCAGCAGAGAGCAGGTGGGAGGCACCCACGTTAGCGCAGCACAGAGAAGCTGATTAGTGAGTGCCCCTGGATCCGCCACCAATGCCTTCACCAGCACCAAAATCGTGGTTGGCACCTGTGGCCCAGGTGACTCTGCCCCTGTTCTACCTTCTCGTGCTCCTGCCGGCTCAGGCTCAGAGCCAGCTGCAGCTGGAGGTCCTCATCCCTGTGGGAGGCTGGGGGGACTGGCTGTGAGGGAGGAAGAGAGGAGTGAACTTGGCCCGGTATTCCCCACCCCGGGGCCGGAGGGCCAACACAGTCCTGCCCAAGCGTAAGATGCCCCTTGCTCCAGGGGATGGGCTTTGAAAGAGTGGCTGTCTCCCTGCCTGGGCCTGAGATGCAGCTTCAGAATCAGCCTCCCTAGCAGAGGCTAGTGAGCACCCACCTGCTTTTTTTGCTCCTTAGCCACCCTGTGCAGTCTCAGGTCTCACCTATCTTTTTCTTCTAGGTACCCTGAGAACGTCTCTAGCCCACCCATGTAAGAGACATAAATGTTTCCTGCCTGGTCTGCCTGGATCCACAGAGATAATGAAAGATGATGAGGTATCAGAGGTGTTGTCCCTGTCCTTCCAAAGGACGGCTGGCGGGAGGGAGCTGTAGTCCCAGAGTTTTCTCAGAGTGTGTTCTCAGCACACACCTCTCCCGAACCACAAAGAGAGAGCAGACCCCTTAAGGTGCACCACACACACCCCAGCTACACACGCCCTCTTCTGAGCCCTGCCTGAGAACACCGAAAGTCGGAGTCCACAACAGGGACAGATCAGGAACATCGGCATGCCCTCTGCTGTCTTGGGAGCTCGAGTGGGTCTCGGGTCCAGGGTGGAGAGCCCAGGTGGAGGCTGGTGAGTACCAGAGCCCTTTCCTTCCTCCGCAGGCATCCTGTCCAGACCCAGGTCTCACCTTTTCAGCCTCTTCACGGCTCATGGCCAGGGCCAGCTGCAGCTGCAGTTCTTCTTCTCCGGATGTCTGGGGCCGGGCCTGCTCCAGGTCTGAGGCATAGCGCGGGGACGAGGATGCAGCTGCAACAAGAGTGGTTCCCGTGAGCACACCGGTCCCCACGGTCCCCACGGTCCCCACATTCCTCTGCCTGCCAGGAAGCTGGGCCTCACAGAGAGGGAGCCAAAGGAGACTGGCTCTTCAGGCTCCCGGGAGCCAGGCAGTGCACTGGGCAGCCCATGTGGGTTTCCACTGCTAAGGCAGATGCCAGGGTCACCTTGGCAGGGAGTAGACAGTGCAGGGGGTGCCTGGCCACTCAGGGCCCTAAGTCAGAACTTAATGCAGGTCCCTGACATCAGCTCTTGAACTCTTCCAATGGGACCCTAGCCTGCTTGGGGCCACGGGGATTAAGAGGAAGGGATCTGCCAATCAAACAAAATCACAGCCTCGGAGCCCCAAGCAGGCCATCATGGGCTTTATGGAGGAGGGCCATTCTGGTATTCCTAAGGTCACAAAGGCCTCCACACCACTGTGGCAAGCCATCAGGAAGGATGTTTCATCACCAGCCACCCTTGTTTTCAAGGACAATACTCTTGAGTGGTGGGGATTTACAAAAACATCAGGTGTCTTGAGTAAAAGGGTCAAGGGCATTCTTGGGCCTTGTCTCATTCAGTTCTCAGATCAAACAATAGAGGGAGGTAAGTGTACCTCTGTTTTACAAAGAGCTGGTTGCCCAAGCCACGCAGCTTGGAAGGAACAGAATGAATGGTATGCAACTCCAGAGGCTGCATTTCGACCTCCCTGCCACCCTCTCAACAGCTAACTAATAACAAGGACAAGCAATTGATAATGCCATTATCTCATCCGAATTGCCGAGCACCTACTGTGTGCAAGCATGGTGCTTTTTCACATTACGTTCTTTATCTGGATGGGTCCTCCCAGCCTCCTTTCTGGGGTAGGGACTCTCTCTCATTCATGGCTGCGGGCTGCAGAGCCAGGACTGTGGCTGGGCTACCACCACCATCACCACCCTCTCCAGCCATACCATTCGGGTCTACTCACAGGTGTAGGAGGAGGGGGATCCCCGAGATCTCCGGCTGAAGCCCAGCTGCCCACTGCCAATGCTCATGCCCTCCAGGGCCATCCTCTCTTTGGTCTTGAGGGCGTGGGTTCGCTCTTGCCGCAGACGCTCCTCGTCCCTGAGCAGGGCCATCACCTGTTTGACCTTCTCACGGACATTGACGCCTTGGTCCTTGCCATCGCGGTCAATGTACTGGAAGTCCTTGAGCGTCTGGATGGTGTAGAGGTTCTCACGGCACTGGTGGGCCACACGCTCCGAGCCCGTCTTGAGTAAGTAGTCCAACAGTGTCAGAGCCTTGTATACATGTCGCCAGTTCTTCCCGCTGTCATTGAGTCGCCGCCACAACATGCCCATGACCTCAGCAAAGGCCACTGTGTTGAAGGTCAAGTCAGCGATCTCGGACATGAGGGAACTGGGTGGGCCCCAGGGGTCATTGCTGGTGGCCTCGCGCACCTTGATCTCGGCCTCCGAGTAGTTGTGAACAATGTTCTTCACCTGGCGTCGGAGCGCAGAGGTTGTCATGGTCGGGGACTTGGAGGTGGGCAGCCCCCACCCCCGCCGGAGGTAGAGGGCTGAGGGCCACCGTCTTGAGGTCACTGTCTCGAAGGATGGGCCGCCGTGCTTTCAGCAGGGCGGCTGCGTCCTTGGGTTCCACATGGGGCTGAGAAAAAGAGGACCTGGGACTCAGGATCGGTGGCTTCCTCACCGTTCATTCACTCACCGAGTAGGACCTGGCCAGAGAGTCCCTGCTGCCAGGAATGGCTTTGGCCAACACTTAACTTTTATTTTTCTTACTGTACCCACTGCTCAATGGACCCTGTTTGTTTGGCATGCTTGTCCATACGACCACCAGACCAAGATGTTGAGATGCCCTATCTCTAGTCACATAGGGGGACAGGTGGGACTCAAAGAATGAGTCCATGATTATTCCTCTGACATCACAGAGCTGGTAAGTGGGGGCAGTCCTCCCTCCGCCTGAATGGGTGGCTTCAAGGATCATAAAGTGACCACCAGGAATGTCAGTTTCCTGCCCCACTCACGCTTGTCTCCTCCTCCATTTGTGCCTCAACCTTTCCAGTTCAGCCCTTCACTCTTTCCTCTGATGGCCATTCTTCATAATTTAATTCACTCAACGCCCATTTCCTGGGGGTCTTCCCCAAGCCCCGCCACATGCTTGTAGAACACCCACAACCAAGTGGAAGGGTCCGGCGATCACAGCCCACGGTGGGCGTGCTCAGAGGTAAAGAAGGCACAAGCAAAGAGGATAGTGGGCACCTTCCTAGAGGAGGTGGCACTAAGTTAGACACAGAGAGAAGGGTGAGGAGATGGAGGGGACCAGCGAAGTGAGGAATCTGTGAGCATCAGGGGTGCACCTGCTGGCCTCTGCCACACGCGCCCAGGAGTGCTGTACCCGCCTGTGTCAAAGGGCATGTAGGTGGCAGGGCTGAGATGAACACCACCTGTTTCCTTGAGACTAATTCAATACTTATCGTCAACGTCACCTAGTTGGTTAATTAATCCATCTAATTACTTGTTTCAGAACCACCTTTTCAGCCAGAATGGAAGTTCCCTGAGGGCAGGGGCAGTCCACGCAAACTACCAAGGCCTTAGGCACACAGAAGACCTCTGATAGTCCCATAGACGCAGATTCAAAGGGACGGTCGGCCACATGTCTTTCCACAGCCTCGGGAGGCAGAGGAGAGTCCCCCAAGGCCTTGCCAGAAACCCAAAGTAGGAGCCTCCTGCCTTCATCATGGCACTAATACAGTTTTACACACGAATACATGTGTACAAACACACACACACACACACACACACACAGAAGCTGGGTCAGCAGAACCTCCATTTTCTCCATGAACGCCCCCCACCACCATAGAGATCACGCCTCCCCAGATCACCCTCCGGCCTGACCTCAGCTGTCCCAGCCTCCTGAGAGGTGGGGGCAGGAGTTGCAGTATGGGAAGTTTGTCCTTCCAGCACCCGCAGGTGAATGATTGGCTCAGTTCAAAGTACCCACAGGCCTTGGCCGGTCCCGATCTTGAGCCGAAGGATGGGAGTCTGTGGAAAGTGGACCCCCTGGCCCGTAGAGCTGCCTACCTTATGTCTTTCTGTCCAGCCGGCCTTCTGTGGGAATGCCACAGCCACAACTTGTTTAACTCCTGCCCTCCCCCTCGCTAGTGACTCAGACCTGTATTCACCTCCCCAGTGGGAGGGCGGGCTGGCAGTGGCAGTCAAGATGGGAATAATTGTGCCCAAAGCCCGCCCTGGTGTACATGCTCCTCCCTGCTGGCTGCTGGAATTGGCAGAACCAGTCAGAGCAGACATCCTGACTCCACCAGAGCCCTACCTGGGCCTGGCTTCCCAGGCCTTCCTACTTTGCCAGGGTGGGTGCAACCAGCCTCCGCGGGAAGGGACCCTCTCTGAAGGCCCCATGACCCTCCGTGGACTTTCCTCTCTCAGGAACAAGGTGGACATTGCTTGCACACCTTTGCTGGAGCTGGGGGAAAGGAAGGGACCGGAAACAAAAGGAGATGCCTGAACCTCCTCCACCCCAGCCATTCCTGTGCTCTCGTGGAGTTGAACACAGTAGGGACACAGGAGCAAGAGGGCCAGGGTGAGGTCCCAGGGCATGCACGAAGCTGAGAGGAAAGGGAGGCGGGAGGAGCGCCTGGGAGCCCTGCCAGCGGTGTTACAAGCAGAAGGTTTTATCGAACACAATATGCCCAGGAATAAAAAGGGAGTGAAACACAAACCCAGCTGCCGATAAGACGGTGCGGCAGCGGCAGCCCCGGGCAGCGGGTATGGAATTACTGCAGTGACCTTGAGCCAGACCCTGCCAGGTGGAGGGAAGGACACTGAGAAGCCAGAACCTGGGAGGCCACTTCAGAGATGGAAAGAAAGCAGGAGGGTACTAGCAGAGAGGGAGCATAGGCTGGTCTGGGGGTGGGGACATAGAGTAGAGACTCCCTCCTCCACACGGGTCCCCAAGGAGGAATTGGAGTGGTGGAACTTCTCAGGACACAAGTCCAGAAGGGTGCCAGGGTGGGGGATGGAGAAATTCCTAAAAGTCAGCAGTGAGGAAGCAGATGGCATCCCCAGGGTGGAGGTTCAGAGAGATGGAAAGAACCAATCACATGCACGAATTTGCCAAAGAATGTGCGCACCTCCACCAGCCAGCACCCTCCCCATCGTGGGTCCCCATCAAGCCCAGAGTGAGCAATGGGGGAGTGGCAATATCCTTCCTGCTGCTAGAGGGATGTGGGACTGGATGGTAGCTAACCTCAGGCTGCCTGGCTTCATCAGATCTGAGTTGGCTGTGTCCGGTAGAGCACTGGAGTGGACTAAGGGGGCATCCTGAGGTTAGCGGTGTAAACACAGAGATATGCAGGATCTGAGGGGACCGCCACCAAGAACCTCTGGATGGCCCTACGTCCCTGTCCCTTTCCGGAGGGAGCAGGAAGGTAGGGGGGGGGGTTGCAGGTAAGAAGCCTCCAGGTCCTCCACAGTCCTGCCTTTCCTGGGAGAGAGACTAAGTCCTGAGCCCACTCTAGCCCCCGCCCTCATGCAGGGCACCACCGCGGCGGCGGCGGCGGAAGCGGCGCGGGAGGGAGCTTACCTCCAGTGTGGGCTCCCTCGCCCCAGCCCCAGCAGGCTCTGCAGTGACCCTCTGACTTGCAGGGTATGGCACAGCCTCAGGAGCGGCTCCAGAGCCATCCACCATAGACCCTGGCCTCGGGAGCCCCACCCTCGACCGAGAGGCACCAGGGCCCTCTGAAGGACAGCAGGGTCCCTCAGCGGGTTGGAGCTCAGCCTCCGGCGGCTGCCTCTCCGACTCCTGCCGGCCAGCAGTCTCGGGAGGAAAGTTGTTCAGCTGGCCAGGCAGGTCTGCCTCAGCAGTAACAGGACACAGGATGACGGGCCGGGCGTGTTTAACCCCTTCCTGCTGTCGGCCGGCCGGGCGGGCGGGCGGGCGGTGCCTTCAGGGGAGGAGACCTGCTTGTTTGTCTGCCGGTGACCTCAGGGGTACAGACCTGGAGCTGATCCACGCCCACCCTGCCGGGAGTTAACCTTTCCACTACCTCCTCAGCTAGAAGGGGAATGGGGTAGGGGTGGAGGCAACTCCAATACCACCACCACCACCACGCCCTACCCCTCCTAGTCAGGGCGACAGTAAAACAAGAAGGCAGAACACCCCCTGGGGTTTGTCTTTTCCTGCTCCCAGCTGGCTTCCCCTTGCTACCACAAGGGTCCTGAGGACTCTGCCTCTCCAGCTCTGGAAGGGCCCTGCCGCCTCTCAAACTCCTTCTTCCACATCTCACCTGGAGTGTGCTGAAGGCTCATGAGGTCAGTATGAATCCCACAGGACTTGGCTACTCCCAAGCTACCGGCTGCCCTTAATCCTCCGTGGCTCCTAGAGACCCCCCCAGCCCACAAGTTGTTTGCAGTTGTTACAACAGAAGCCCCAGGATGACCTGAGCAGGCGCTGCCTGTCTTGCCCAGCTGTTACCCTTCACCCATTTGACAAGGCCCACATTCCTTGGTCCAGGAAGGAGTGGGAACTCTCAAAGCTGTTTTCCTGGAGACATTGTCTCCCCGTGTAGCCCAGGCTGGCCTCAAAGTCATTATGTAGCTCAGGCTGATTTTGAATTTACAACCTTCGGTGTCCGGCTGAGATTACATTTTTCACTGTAGCAGGAAAATGGCTCAGGGCCAGAGGAGTTGACTGGCGGAAGGGATGAAGCCGACCAGAGCCCCAAAGACTAACGTCTGCTTAGGACAAGGGTGCTAAAGAGAGCAGATGGGGAGAGGAAATTTGTACATGTGAGAGTTTCTTGGACTGTTGCAAATAGTTGTACTTTTGTTTTTCTTCAGACCTGGGGTGGGTCTGGGCTCAGCCCCAATTCCTCCGGGGTTTAAAGAGCTTGGCAAGTGCCATCCTGAAGGATGAGGTGAGCTGAAGTAGAAGACTCCAGAAAGTCAGATTCCATCAGCCCTGCTTCTCCTCCTAGTCCCTCACTCGGTCCCTACTGTGTGAGGCCACTTGAGCTGGATCCGGGAAGCATGACCCTGAAAGTGTGGGCCTGAGGCAGGCAGCGACTGCTCCAAAGATGCATCGATCTGCCCTGTCACCTGACCTGCTCTCCTGCTTTGTCATCTGCACATCGCCTCCCTCCATGTGGGTGGCTCTGAGAACCACATGCGGGCAGGTGGGATACAGGAGGTCCTAGACCATCACCTGACACAGTTGAGACCCAGCGTCCCCAGAGGCACAACGGGTGTAGGAACCTAAAGATTCTTTATTGACTTCTTCTAACCATTTTCCCAGGAGGAACCGTGGGCCCAGGAATCAGCTGCAAAAACGCAAAGGTTCTTCAACATTCTTTAGGGGGCTGAGCTCATCAGCCAGGATCATCATGTCGGTAACCAAGTTATCCAGCAGCCCATAGACCTGCAAGAATGGGATAAACATCAGAGGCCAAGGCTGGCCTGCAGAAGGCACCGATGGACCAGCCTTACTAAAAGAGGAAATACGGAGAGCAGAATGCCAAAGTTGGATAGTGTATTGCTGCATGTAATTGTTTTTCAGATCTGGAGTGGGTCTGGGAATCAGTTCCAATTCTGTGTTGGTTTTCCAGAAGCCAACTCTCCTTCCTGTAAGATCATAGCTCTACATATTGAAGGTTCCAAAAACCAAGACTGAGCCCCCCCCCCCCACTGCGGCTGGACCACACAGCTTAAGAAAATTGACTCTTAATACCATAGAGTCGAAGAAGTGTTTATACCCCGGAGTCCCCAGCGCCCCAAAACTCCCTTCTGGAGCCCATCAGCCATCAGAAGACTCAATGATGTCACAGGCAGCAGCAAACTATTTCTGGTCAAAGGAGACCCTGGGGTGGTCCCACAGTGCACAGTAATGCAAGCCCAGATTCGCAATGCCTTATCAGGGAAAGACAAAGCATCCCTGTTAGATATGCTGACTTAGTCAGCGTGGTTTTGTAGACCTCCCACACACCTTGAAAAAAAAACCATAGTAACCAAAGACTAAGATGACCTGGGGCATCTCTGAGGACCTGTTGCTTAAGACCAGATCACGATGAAGTCTTTTCAGCAAATGCACACTGGCTCTCCTTTGAATGTACATTGCCCCCTCCAGAGCTCATGTTAAAATCTGCTTCCGGTATGAGTGTTGAGAAATCTGGAGACCTTTAAGAGGTCTTTGAGTCAGGAGGGCCCCACCTGCACCGAGCAATTAATACCTTCACCACAGTGAGTCCTGGCGGTTGTCAGGAAACAAGTCTCCTTTTGTGTACCTTCCACACAAGCCCAGCTGCCCCTCTGCCTTCTACCATGAGTTGAAGCAGCACGAGTGCCCTACCCCTGGGCTTTCTGGCCTGCAGAGCTGTGAGCCAAGATAAACTTTTCCTATAAATCTCCTGATCTGTGGTATTTTGGTATAGCAACAGAAAGAGGACTAAGACAACCCTCCACGGTATTCTCCCAGGAAACACACCTCTTACCAGTGTGTACCTGTGGGGAGGTGGACGCAGCTCTACAAAGGGAAGGCCTTCACCCTTGGTGTGTTCCCGGGAGTCTGTTTTCCAAAGGACAGCTAGAGGCACCCTACGTCCGATCATATCACTCTCAATGACTTCCGGGGTCACCCAGAGGAAACTCCGAGGCGAGGCCTCACATGGGCCAGCCAAGGCCTTCTTGACCACCCACATGCCCTGTCTGCAGCTTCTCTTCCTTGCCACTCTCCTGGCCCACTTCCTCCTCCGCATCAGCTGCTTCCTCTGCCTAAGGCACCCTTCCTTGGCCAACCTTCATTTCTCTCTGGTTTTTGTTTGTTTGTTTGTTTGTTTGTAGGTAAATGCAGGTGCTCCTCAGTGGAATAAAGGGAAGGAGAGATGCAGGGGTGAGGGCTGGGAGGTATGGTAGCCCCCTCTTCCCTTCACCTCAGCATGCAACCTCTGGGTATATTTCTGCATGACCAGGGGGTCTATGGGCTCCTGCGAAGGGACCGTGCTGTCAGGGGTAGGGTCTTCTGAGGAGAGCCTGTCCCGGCTTGCAGACTTCACCACTTTCTTGTCATCCTTTGCCTTCAGTTTCTTGCTATTCAGGCGATCCTGCGTGGAGAAATGGAGACACACAACCTCAACAGCTCCTGAGGGAGGTCTGATGTTCTCTCCGGTGGCTCTCCTGGAGCGACCGCCCCCCTCCCATGTCCCACCCCCCCAGCACTCCCCAGCCCCATCGGGGTGCAGATCACAGCCGCACATACCTCTTTCCCTGATGCCTTGGCCCCCTTTTTTTCCTCTTTGTCTCTGGCGCCCAGCACTTTCTTTTCCTGTGTGGCCCCTTTCCGCTCCTCCTTCCCGACTTTACTCACCGCCACCTTCACTTCTACGACTGTGGGGGACTTTTGACCTAAGAGGGGGAAAGTGGGAGACATCCAGAAGCACACACCCCCCCCCCACCCACCCCCCCACCCCCGCGAACACATGGCCTGGTCTACATCCCAGGCTTATGCCAAGGTAAGCTGGGTGATGAGGAAAATAGAGAATCCCTGCAGGCTGAGAGCAGAGGGGGTAAGGAAGTGGGGGGGAGGGAGAAGACTTCCTCCAGCCCTCCACGTGACCTTAGGGAACAAGGCTGTGTGACCAGGGCAAGAGACAGTTCAGTCCCAGCCCCACTCTGTTTAAACTCCCTGTGATTCAGCGTGCTAAACAAGGGGACTCCACCAAGGTAGAATCTGAGTCTCAAGTCCTGGCAACAGACACAAAGATGGATGAAAAAAAAAAACAAAACAAAACACAAAAACCAAGCTGGATGAGACCCACCACTAGGGACTCAAGTACCTACCATAAGGGGTTAAACAGTCAAGGTATTACTGCCTTCAGGGCAGAGGGCTGAGGAAGAGAAGACTACATGAGGTGAGCCCTCACAATGTCTGACCTTGGTCTTCTGGAACATCCAAATAAACGGTCTCCTTCTCAGGCAATCCCAAAAGAGCCCTTAGCCACAGTGACTGGCTTACCAGGCTGTCAATCACATCTCGCCACAGCTGCAAACTAGAGGAAAAGACACATTGGAGAAAAGCCATCACTCTTCATCTGTCCTCGAACCTTCGGAGGCTCGGATGCCTCCCTTTGAAGACTCCAGCACAGGGGAAACACTACCACGAAAATGCCATGTTACCAAGCAGCCAATCCTCCCTGACACCATGCAAGTGTTCACATCGGAAATCTGGCTTCCCTGTGGTGGCAACCAAGAGACAAGGACCAGGACTGGTATTAAGAAGCCTGAATGAACTCAGTCTTGCTTGAGAGTCTAAATTCCAGCTTGGAGTGATGGCTAGACTCGGTCAGGCTCCATGGGAAGGGCTGACTGAGCCTTGCACAAGATTCCCGGCATGAGGCTCCTGAGGCTGTGTTCTGGACCTTTCAAAAACCTATCCACCTAAGTCCAAACAGGTGACCGCTCGGTGACACAGACAAGTGAAGCTTTTTGTGAGGCTCCCTCTCCCTTCAAGTGTCCCCTGCCCCCTCCCACCCCAGCCCCCATTCTTCTGCTTGAGAAGGAACAAGACAAGGGGGAGGGAATGGGGTCGGGGAGGCAAACTGCTCCCCAGAGGAGCAAGGGGCAGCTGTGAGGCTGCTCTAGCAGATTCCAGAGTATGAGATGTTTGCAGCATTTCTTAGCATCCTGGCGTCCGGAGCTACCTTCCCAGGGCCCCTGGCCAGGCACTACCAAGGGAAGGAGGAGATCTGGGGTGGTCCCCAGGAGGGTACCTACCACATCTGGTGCAGGAGATCAGACTGCAATGGCTTCTGCTCCTGGCACAGCTCCACGGCTGCCTTGTTGAGCCGGATGAGGGCATCCTCTCTCTGGATCTCCTCAGGAAAGGTAATCACTGCCTGGTTAGGGCCATGGACACCATGGGCAACCATTCTGGACCAGAAGAACTCCAAGGGTCCCTGTGTTTTCTCTAGCAATGGACCTGGCTACATGGAACAGAAGCTATGGAGTCTATAGAGGATGCCTTCTCTGGGAACCAGTGACCTGCCTCAAAAAATCTATTCCCATGAACCTCAGTTTTCAAAGAAGCTCCTTGTTTTAAAAAAAAAAAAAAAAAAAAAAAAAAGTTTTGACTCAAGAGACTACTTTTTTCTGGGCCCTTGGGTTTCATCTATATGCCCACGGGCCAAGGGAAGTTGCTGGAGCAACACACCCAGGGACCTTCTCCACCAACCCCGCCAGAGTCTTAGGGGCACCTTTCTGAAGTCCTCCAGGCAGAGGTTCCACTTGGGCAGGGGAAGGCTCTCCAGCTCCCAAGGGCTCCTGGTATTCTCCCTGTCAGGACTCTCCTCCACCAGGATCTCCTCCATGATGCTCTTCCGTGGAAAACTCTTGCTGCCCACGCCAGTCTTCTGAGACAGGAAGGACTCCCGGGTTTCCTTGAGCGTCTCCGACTCCTGCCTCAGTTGCAGCTGTGAGGCATCCAAGACTGGACTCCTGCTGCTCCGGCTGCTCCGGCTGCTCATGGAGTGTTCGAGGTCTGCTTGGGCCTTGTCAACGAACACCACCGGCAGTGGACCCGGCCGGGCTCTGGGGCTGAGGGCATCCTCCTGACCTGCCCTGGCCTCGTCAGTCTTCAGCGGCAGGAGCGAACACTGCTGCCACAGCTGGTGCAGGTTTTGCACCACTTGATGCTGGTAATGCAACTGCAGCCCAGGTGAGGGAGGACACAGACACAGAGGCACATGCCTTTGGGCCTCCCAAGACAGGCAAGGTTTAAATGAAGAATCACATGATGTTCTGGTCTCACTAAGCATCCGCCCACTTGTCAACTATTTTGGGTACATTCCTTAACTCCTCTAGGCCTTCATTTCCCATATTTACATCCTGTAAGGGTATAAACCACGCTCATTCTCTCTTAGGATCGCTGTGAGGGGGCGAATTACTTGTGGAAGATGTGCCCAGCACAGGTTCCGGCATGCGGAAGGATTTGCTACTACAACCACCCAGAGTGCACAGGGCCAACCCATACCCGAGGATTCCTGTGGTGGAACAAGTCCTCCTCGGTGAGATTGGCATCCACGGGGGATGGTACACGCTCTGGAGTCGAGACACCCCTCAGCAACTCCTGCAGCACACTCTGTGCGATGGTGACAGCCTCGTGGGCAGCCAGCTTACTCTGGGGAAAGAAAGACGGCACAAGATGGCAGCCTGGGCTCTCCACTGCCCATGTATCCTCAAGGAGAGAGTCAGAACATTCTAGAGTAGGGTCTGAGTTCCTACCTGGACGTCAGTCCCTCTGACTTACACAGACACCTATTATTGCAAGACACAAAAATCTCCAGGTCTCTCTAAACATCCATGTTCCCCTCAAAAAGGTAAAAGACACCAGCAGAGGCCAGTGCCAGAGGAGAGCCACTCCCGCACAGGATTTGGACCCTCCAATCCCCTATTGGAAGAAGGCGTAGAGTCAGAGTCCACAGTTTGGGTGCCATTAAGGATGGTAGTGAACTTTCCTCTGGCCTGGCCACATAGTGTCATAGAAACCCAGCCGAAGGGCATCTCTCTCCACACACAGGTCCTAGAGTCAGCAAATACAGTGAACTTGGCCTTTGTCAAAGTTACAATCTAATTGGCACGGGCCAAGCCCCAGCCTGAAGCAGGCAGCTGTGTGTAGGGTACCACATAAATGCCCAGCTTTCCATAGAATCCCACAGAGCAGGGCACAAGAAAACCACACCGAGACTGAACAGGGACAAAGAGCCTCCCGCTCTCACCTTGACTCTGCAGGGAGGCTGACAATGAGAAGGGTACTGAAGCTGGTTATTTAAGTCGCGGTCTCTGGGCCGGAAGTCTTGTCAGTTCAGTCCCACTCTACCGCACAGCGGCAGACAGCCACGAACAAAAGGCAGCCCCACCCTAAGGTCTCCCATAGCCACCCGAGACTCACAGTCCCAGTGTGGAAGCTCCCACTAGGGACCCCTACATACTTCTGTGAAGTCTGTATCTCAGGATTTCATCTTGTTCCCTTCTAATTCAGGGCTGCAAGGTAGGGTCCCTGGCTGGCCTGCCCTAGCCTGTCCTTTCATCTTCTCCATCATAAAGGCCTGGGTATTGTTTCCTAAGCAAGAGTAGTTATCTGTCTGTGTGGTGAGAAAAAAAAAAATCACCTCTCAAGATAGGAAAATTAAAGATCCCTGGAGGAACCCCTGAGTGACCCATGTGCTGCCCCCATGGCTGACATTCTAAGTCCCCTACCTCCAGCAACTTCCTCTCTTCGACAAAAGTGTCCTGGGTCAGTGAGATAGCATGGAGAGTGACCTGGAGGACAGCACCTCCCAGGAGGGTGGGATGGGTCCCAAATTCCCAAGATTCCCTGAAGATGCCAGCATTCAGAGACTTGAAGAAGAAGGTGAAGTGTTTGGTCTCCCCAGGCAGAATCACACCTGAGAGAGACAGAGGCAGAGGCTGTGATGGAGGAGCTGGCCGAACCGCCAGTCTACGTGCAGAAAGGCCACTGCAGCCCAGCCCACATCTGGTCACCAGCCAGCCAGCCCTGCTTCTCAGGACCATAAGGTTTCCCGGAATGGGTGACTTTGAGTGTTACAGCTGGGAAAGAGCGAGTCAGTCAGGAACAGATGGTCATCCTGGCCCCAGGTCTGTGCTCCCTGAACGGCTCCTCCCTCTCTGCATTCTCAAGAATTCTCTTGTTTTCTCAACAAATGTGAATAGTTAGACCACACACTTCATGAGAGAAACGGGAGCGTCAAGGCAGAAGGAGGGGAGAGACCGGTAGGTACTAACCAAACACTGGAGTGTCCCGGTCACTGAGGCAAATGGGGAGCTGGTGAGGAGGGTAGCTTGGGGGTACCTTCCCGGTTGTTAAAGTAAAACCGCTGCGTCCTGTTTCTCTTTAGGTCTTGGAAAAAATTCATCTGGGGCCGCCGTCGCCAGTCGTACCAAATGGCCACAGTGCCGTTATTGACCACAGTTAGTTCTGAAGATGTTTTCTCCCCTTCGAGGGTCTCAAATGTCAGGCGAACACCAATGCCAATGGTTTGCTGTGGAGGAAGTAGGCACAAGCACTGTGCTGGCTACAAGTTTCACCCTCGGGTGACCAAGTCATCCCTGTTTCCTATGACTTCTCTGAAAGTCCAGTGTTGACACTGTTCCTCTGGGCTTGGTCACCCTGAGTGGTGTCAACCCTACACCAGTAATTGCCTCTGAGGTTATCACCAACACTAAGAAGAGAAGTATTTGACACCCGGTATTGTTTTTGGTCCTTAGCATCTGAAGAATGTTCTAGAACAGGTACTGGGGAGGTGACTCAGAGGTTAGTTTGCAAGCCCAAAGACTGGAGATCTGATCTCCAGAAGCCAGGTTGAGTGTGACAGTCTGCCTGTTATCCCAGCACATAGGAGGTGAAGACGGAATCCCCAGAGTGAGCTGGCCAGCCAGACTCACCCCAACATTAGCTGTAGGTTCAGTGAAAGCCCCTGCCTCAGGACACAGGTGGAAAGAAAGAGATGGAGACGCTCTGTCAGCCTCAGGCCTACACAAAGACGTTCACACAAGAGGTGCACTGCACCCAACATCTGTGCTCACACATATTTGCAATGCACATGTGTGTAAGTCTCCACACATTCACATACACATACAAAAACTATAATAATAATAATAAATATTATCCTAAAACCTCCATCTAGCCCCATCTATGTAAAAGGGGTTATTTGCCTGCTGGAGGGCTAGTTGAAAACTAGGTATTATCAGTGATGCGCTCTCTCTCTCTCTCTCTCTCTCTCTCTCTCTCTCTCTCTCTCCCCCTACCCACCACAGGGTCTCTTTGTGTAGCCTTGGCTGTCCTGGAACTTGCTCTATTCTAGGCTGGCCTCGAACTCACAGAGACCCGCCCGCCTCTGCCTCCTGAGTGCTGGGATTTAAGGTGTGCGCCACCGCTGCCAGCCTTTTCAGCCTTGTGATCTCATTTTGCTTCAGTTAGTGCTGCTGTTACCATTTCCAGGCATGTGGAATGTGCAATCAGATAAAAACACCTATCAGAAACTGTGGACTCCTTGTGACTGTCACGGTCACCTTGGGGCCTGGCCCGTCAGGGAGGCCCTTCCTGCAAGTGCATGAAGCTGAAAAGGCAGTTTACCTTGTCCTCTGAGTTACTGCCTCTGATCCAGCAAGCTGGCTTCCCACAGAACAGCAGTGAAGGGCCGAGAATAGGCATGGGGACCATGTCAGAGACATTGGTCAATGAGTCTCTGTAAGAAAAAAAAAAAAACAAAAAAACCAAAAAACGATTCTTTATTTTCCTGGAGGCTGAGCGCTCACACCACTTGGAACTATGGACACAGTTGTCAGGAAATCTAGAGACTTGGTCAGCCTTGCTGAGTCTCTCTCCAAGGCCATTCCCTGTTAATAGCTGTGGAGGGTTCTGGGGGTGAGGACATTTAAGTACCACAGTGATGTATGGGCAATCCCCACTCGGATTCAGTTGCGGGGAAGGAGAAGGTGGCAGCAGACAGCTGGCAGACATGCGGTAATGCATCAGAGGACAGGGAGGCAGCCTCTGGCAAGGCTGGGGTGAGGCCACTCCGATTTTGACTTCGGGAAGGAAAACCTGCCCTCCAACACTGGTGGATGTCAGAGCGCCTGCGCTCTCCAGCCTCCCTCTCTCCTCGGGGCTCAGACTCACAGGAACGCTGTGTCTTCAGAGGAGCTCTTCATGCTCTTCTCAAACGGCGAATACTCCTCCACCGTGATGGACGAGAAGGGCTTCCCACGACCCACCACCTCCAGGCCGTCGATATCCTAAGAGGAACAGAGGCAGGGTGAAGCTGGCTGGCAGGTCACCCGGAGCGCCTCAGGATAGGGTATGAAGGCATTCGCAACCTGCTGGTTGAAATCCAGTTCTGCCATGATATTCCTCAGCTCCTTGCGCCGGTAGACCAGAAACAGACTCCGGTCCCAGGTGTAACGGTACCAAGCATCCTTCTGCTCTGGTAATCCTAGAGTAGAGATGGAAGACCTTCGGGACAGACTGCTATCATGCCCGCTTCCCACCCTTTGCCTGAGGGCCCTGAGGACACCCATCCCAGCAGCACTCCTGAGGAGGACTGAGGAATGAATACAGCCTCTGCAGGACAGCTCCACTTCAGGTCTCGGAAGGTCCTCTACCTCCTTAGCAGCCGTCTACAGGAATCCCACAAAATAAGCCACCAGATAGCCAAATCTTTGGATTGCAGTAACAGCAGCAACTCCCTTCTGGTGAGTCTTAGCAAGGGAGCCAGGAACCCTTAGATGCATATAATGTCTCTTTTAACCCCTCACAATGCTTATGATAGAAAATCCAGAACAGTGGGAGCCAAATACCTCATAGAAACTCAGAAAGCCAGCACAGCTGGGGGGTGAGTCTGGACAGGCTGGTGGGCTTTAAAGCCTGGCTACCCCATGGGAGTATAGTAGAGACCACAAATGTAAGCCTTGTGCGTCACTTCCGATTTTCTAGATGCATGTTGAAAAGGTAAATCTCACCAACTCTAAGTGAGATTCATGGTAACATAGTTCATTTAACTCCATATACGAAGACTATTATCACAACCAATACAGAAATGCAACCAGTATAGAAATGACTACTGACTGGTCTACCCTGACAGCTCATTTCTATGCAGACTAGTCACATTCCAGGGACTCAGGTAGCTGCATTGGGGCTGGTGGAAGCTCTATGCCCAGGGTCCTATCTACCCTGCCTCCTTTATCACTTCCTATCAGTTTCACTGAGGAAGGAACTGGATCCCAGGTAGAGTCTGGGACTTGCTCAAAGCCAAGTGTGATCCAGGATTTGGGTCAGAGTCACGCTGACCACACCATACTGCCCCGCAGCCTCCGCCGCCTTCATCGGGCAGAAGTGAATGGGTTCAGGCCTTGTTCTCACCAGTCTCCACTTGGATGGAGCGGGGCTTCCTGACGTGTGTGATGGGTTCCACCAGGCCACGCTGAGATTTCGTTTTTGTCATGAGAAGACCTGTCATCTCATCTCCCAGATACTCCAGTGGACTCCAGAAGCAATTGGCTGCCTTAAAAATCTGGCAAAGAGGGACGGAACAGTGAGGTCACCTCCGTACCTCAGTCAGAGGCTGGTGGGGGCATCCACTGGGACCCAATGGCAGAAGAGTGGGCATCTAACTATTTTCTTGTTTTCAAGATACCAGAGCCGGGCGGTGGTGGCCACACGCCTTTAATCCCAGCACTCGGGAGGCAGAAGCAGGTGGATCTCTGTGAGTTCGAGGCCAGCCTGGTCTACAGAGTGAGATCCAGGAAAGGCGCAAAGCTACACAGAGAAACCCTGTCTCAGA